CCTGATTAAGCTTTAATTAATTTTAAACACCTATAGTCTCCTAACCTCCCAAGACTGAGCATGCAGCATCTGCATTCCTTCTCCTGTTTTTCATCTCATTCTTCCCCCATTTGGCATTTCCATCAGGTACAAGAAGTGCTGGTACACAATTACTGCTTACCTCCGAGACCCCTCCGCATGGGAAGGGCCCATTAACAGCAAAAGACTCATTATGGTCTCCAAAAGTGATAACAACGGAGGAGAGCTTGGCTATTAAGTATCTATCTGTCAAGAGCACCGTTTAACCGTCACACACACACAGAGCAGAGCCGAATGTTAATCAGGTTTATTTACCTCGTCGTTCCGCTCTCGTACACACAGAAGAAGGAGGAAATCTCGGCAGGTGTCTGATTCCGTGTTATGATCTTTTTATTTGTTTGCTCCGACTCTTAGTGTCACAAGAGGAGCGATTACAAGACACTCCGCTGCAGATCGTGTGCAGTCATGTTTGAACTGCTTCTCAACGACTCAGTTCAGCTGGAAACAAGCATCGCACTGAAGCTCCAATTACGCCAATTAACTCCAATTAGACTGGATCAAAACAAGCACACTAACAGGTGATCGAGACAGGACTAATCACAGTTTAAGAGGAAATTGTTATAGTTTCCCTTTGCAAAACAAAGCCAAACAGAGAGATGCTGAGTACACTCTAAAAACTGCTCGGTTGTTTCAACCCAACTTTGGGTCAAATATGGACAAACCCAGTTTTAACCCAATGTTTGGGTTTGTCCATATTTGACCCAAAATTGGGTTAAAACAACCCAGCATTTTTAGAGTGTAGACTCTTGAAATAAGAAATGCTGCTACTCACATCGAAGAAATAGTTTGCCCGGAAATGAAAAGTTTACTCAGCATTCATGTCGCACCAAACCTGACTTTTTCTTATGTGAAACACAAATGGAGAAATGGTCGCTGTTTTACATGCAATTACATTGAATGGACAGTTCATGAACAGTATTTCACATTTTCTGAAGCCATATGATAGCTTTGGGTGAAGAAAGTTATGAAATTTACATTTAAGTCCCTGTAAAGGCAATTCTACAAAAAAGTTCTAAACACATTATAAATGTTACATATGTATTGCTAAAACATATTACAAAGTCTGTGAACTGTGAAGTACTGAAATGGAGTTAGACCGTTAAACAGTTTTTCATCATTGCAATTTTACGGATTAATTGGGCGGGGCTAAAACAGGGCTCCGTGACGCACTGGAACCCATGAGCTGCTGGACAGCCCCTATTTGATGACGCACTGAGTCTGATCTCCCTCTCTCCACACACACTCCCCGAGCAGATTCGCATTCACCACTCAATCGCTAATGACTGTCAGTACTATTAGTTACTACAGCTGATATTGACTGATACTACTACAATACTACTACAATATTTGACGCTTTAGGCGCCCTTTAGCGTCACTTACATTACGCGATCCTACGGCGTCATCTAACTGACGCTAAAGGAAAGCGTCAGTTAGAGGACGCGGTTAGGTTTAGGTATGGGGTGGGGGTAGGGTACACGCGATCCTAGGGCGTCATCTAACTGACGCTAAAGGGCGCCTAAAGCGTCAGATATTGAAGTCAGTTAAGTGACGCCTTGGGGGTGAGAATGGGCTGGTTTTCTAGCTTGTTATGCCTTCGACACGGACATGCATGGGCTACTACCTGGATGCGATCATGTACAAAACAGATCGGTATCTTCATTTAAATTCCCTTAAAAACGATCACATCAACAACACCCGCCTCTGTAGTGATCGTTTTACACTGGATCGTTTTATAAACTTTGACAACTTGGATTCACTGATAATTTACTGATAATCCGCTGTGGTGAACGGGGCCGAAACGACGATCTCCCGCCTCAGTGTGTTCATCCTCCCGTCTCAAGCTAATCAGCTAATATCACCGTCAACAGCTTTCCCGTGAGTGGGCGTGGTTTCAGCGCAGCCAGCGGACACGCCCCCAGCGTTTGAGAGCAGAGAATCTGCTCATTTTTTCATGATTTTGATAGCTTATTTTATGTACTTCCCGACTTTTTTTATCATACAAATTTGGCTGGGTGGCTAATTACACATTTTTCTGTGGTGTGACAAACTCAGAACACATACTTAATTTTGACTTTACAGGGACTTTAAATATATATATATATCAGATCATTCAGATAATTTTTCTTCTTCTTGTGAATCACTGGAACGGAATGATTCATTCACAAAACAAACAGTGCTAATGACTGGAATTGTGGGCTGAGATTCTAAAACAAAGATTCTGTATTTCTTCCAGCTGACGAATGAAAAACATTTATAATCACAATCCACCCGACTTGAGTTTGGGTGCGAAGTTTTCCTTATACTTATCTTTATAGTTCTCATTCTTGCTGTGAATATTCTTTTAATATAAATTATTATTAAAATAACAACTCTAAACCTGCCATAATACTGTCTAATACTGCCTTGATAAAGCGCTCCATTGTAGTTTCCAATGAACATGCCTCAATTAGACCATGAAACTTCAAAAATGATACAAACGGCAACGATCTTCCACATCCTGTTATGTTTAGGCAACAGAATCTTGTATTTCTGTCATTACTTCAAAACATAAGAGCAAAAATCCCGCTCAAATCGAAACCAAAGCTTCTAATCTACATAACAGGGGAGCTATAGAAAGATATAGCTGCTGGCAGATTTATACTGCATTTGGCTTCTTTTGTTGGTCTCTAACTAACTGTTTCTGACAAGTCTTCATGACATCTAAACAAATCCAAACACAATCCCTCTTCTCCTTGTCCGCAAGAGACAGAGGGAAACACTTTGCTTCCCCACTGAATCTTATAACCTTTTCATTTCCGATTGCTATAATTTATAATTACTTTTCTGAAGCTACATCAGCTAAATAATACTGCGGGGCATAACTAAATATATATTTATAGCTATATATATATATACACACACACCTGTTACATTGTTTCAAATCTATACTTTTTCATGATTATTTAAGAATATTATGCACAATTTGCATTTAATTATTTTGAATGAATAAATAAATAAATGTTTAGTTTGCATTACATCCTTTTGAAGATAATATATGATGAGAGTTTGGGTCCAAACAACATTGGACCCAATTGACTTCCATTATGGGAATTTAAAAAAAGTCACAATATCAATATATCACAATATATTCTCTTTCACAGAATATAAAATAATTAAAACTTTTTGAACGGTCCATTTTAGTAAAAAATTAATTGTTCATAGTACCTAATAATGAGTATTAAACTGCACCAATTAAGCTGAACACATGAACCTCAAATTGGTTGATTTGTTGAGGGCAGTTGTGAGAACATTTGACTTGGACCTGCCAAAAAAAAAAAAAAAAACTAAAACCTGCCAACCATGAAACAATGTATTAAAATAACTTATCAACCATTCAGGAATGCTTTGACATCCATCCAGCATTTTAGCATGAGCGAGTTCCTTTTTTACTTGTGTTAAAGAATTGAAACAGGGCGCAGCTGTCAGCATGCACTGCCATACATTCAAACTTAATTTGTTCTCATAGCTGGGACTGAAAGTTTCCTCGTTCTGAGGATGAAAATCTCCCCCTGCACGCTAAATTATCCACAAGCGCTCGCTTTGATCGGGGAGGGGGCCACAACTGAAGCAGCTAAACTCTCAACGCTACAGTTCTGGGTGCCCTCGTTTCAGGGCTGAATGTATTAAGGAATAGTGACACGATCAAGGCTGTTTTTTTTCATACTGGTCCCGCTGATGAAGATGAAAGCGCCGAACCAGACGAATGCATCCCAGCGAGATCGGCACCAACTTCTAACATACCAACTGCTGTGATACTTCTGTAGAGCTATTCAGTGAAAGCAGGAAATTGAGATGGCAGGGGAAGTAAGTAAAGGAGGGGAAGTAAGAAAAAGATGGAGAAAGATGGGCTGCCCTCGAAAAACTGAAAGAGGAGCCCTCGAGGAAATGATGAGGATGCATATCTTTTAGCGTAGGTCAAAGTAGGTGATGTTTTCAATTTTGACTTCCTGCACAGTCCAGTGAGCAGCTTTAAATGTTGAAACGGAGTACTTCAGTCTCGATATTCCTCAGTGAGTGGTATCGAGGCCAAATGACCACTTGGAGCCTTTTTTAATGGAAATGAAAGAAGAAACTAGATTGGTTAAGGTAATAAAAATAGTAACGGAAGTAGAAAAATAACTGGTCAAAATGTATATGAGTATGTGACAGAAGAAAACAACATTTTACTATTGCATTTTTTTTTTAAATAAGACGTAAAATATTCAAAACTAACCCTACAATATCATTTTTTTTTCTTTTCTTACAAAGTATCAAAAATAGTATATAAAAATAGATTAAATAAATACTATTTTGTTTTTTAGTACAATATTATATCTATTTTTATTTTATATTTTGAAAATCACATTATTACCACATGGCACATGCTGATTGGCTCCTGCTGATCCTGCAGCCAATGAGATTGCTTGCTCAACATTTAAATGGTCTGGTGCAGTGTTTGCTGTAGGCTAGCCCATGTTATAGTCTAGCTGGTCTAGCTGTAGGCTAGTCCTAGTTCCAATGGACTTGATTCCATTTTTGGAATTTGAACTGGTCTAAACTGTTTCTTCACATGCTCTTCGCAGTTCCTCTATGTTTGTTCCCCCTAAATTAGTTTAAATCAAGATCAGTTAAACCAATAAAAACACTGCACCAGTCAAGTTAGTTTACCTCCAACAACAACAACCATCTTAACTATCTAAATGTAACTAGCTTGTACAGGTAACACACCAGAACTGATCATTCTAAAACTGATTACGACTCGATTCCATTTTTGGAATGTGAACTGGTCTAAACTGTTTCTTCATCAGCAGGGTTATATTATGTTGCTGTGGGCTGTATTGATTGCATAAGCTTGTTTAATCAAGCATAATCTTGTTTGGCTTCATGAAAGAGTAATCACTCACCAGCCTGGTTGGTCGTGATGTCAATGGAGACGTGCTGGGCAGGATACGGGCTCTTGTTGGTGACACCGTTGACCGCCTGGATCTCAAACGTGTAGAGAGTGTGTGCCAGAAGGTTACTGATGAAGACTCTGGATTCGGTCAGTCCCAGCTGCCGAGGCTGAAATTCCACATTATCATCGCAATGGGAGCAGGATCGGCGGTCCGCTTGGCATTTCTTACAAACAATATTGTACATGACGTCCTCGCGCCCGCCTGTCTCACGCGGGGAGTGCCACTCCAGAGTCACGGAGGTCTCGTTCACGATGGAGATGACATTTCTTGGCCCAGAGGGAACACCTGACAAAAAAGTAAAGACACGTGAGGACACTGAAATTCATTAGGCAAACTATGTAAATGATGCTGCGAAAGAAATGTTTTTAATGCCAGTGGGGGGAAAGGAAGAGCGTTTTTGTGCTACTAAAGAGATAAATATAGCATTTGCATTTGTCTAGGCTCTTTACATTACATTTCTGCAATTGCAGTGCAGTAATTACAACTCTTACATTGGATTTTTATTTAATTACATTAATTTCTACACTTGAATAATAGAAAATGGGTAATTTTAGATTCAGTTGAAAAAGTAATACCTTTAGAAGACATTTAATTGCATGATATGCTTACCTCATTGAAATAAAACATAAGATTATATACAGTAGGAGAATAAGAGCACTTTTCTTTCATGGCTAAATGAAAATCATTTTAGCATTTCAATTCCTCTCTTGAAGCAATAGTTCACCCAAAAAATGAACATCTATTATAATTTACTCACCTTTATGCCATTACAAACCCATGATTTTCTTTCCTCCATTGAACACAAAAGGTGAAATTTAAGAGAATTGTACTGCTCACACACATTCATCCAGTTACAATGAATGGAGACTGGAGTTTAATGCAAGTGTGCAGCCAGCCAATATCTTGTATATATATATATATATATATATATATATATATAATATATTCTATTATAGTTTAAGCTGTATTTATATATTCTAATTCAAATAATAATATTACATTTTAAATAAAAATGGGGAAAAAAATCTAAATTACTTCTTTTTTTTTTTTTTTGATGGATGAACTCACGGCTCGATTGGACTCCTGTCGTGTCAAAAGTGTTACGACTTTTCAGTTTTACTGATGTCGCCATCTTTGATATTACTTCACTATGGTCACAATCACTATGGTTTCTGGAAAAATAATACTAGCTTAAATCCTTTAGCACATTCAATACAGTCTTTGAGGCGCTATTTTAAATAAATGCAGTTGTCAATCCCAAAAACTGACATGAGAGTTAAATTCTGGATGAACTAATCCTTATTTATTTAAACTGATGTTACATTCCCCAAAGATATTTAATCACAAATAATCTCAGTTTTTACAGCAGAGTTTACACTCAAAAAATGGTTTTGTGGCACTGTTCTTTTTACCCAAATATTTTTTTGTTCAAGTAACACACATCTATTTCTTTTACCACCAAACGCTACACTATTGTATTGTGTTTAATTAACTTAACCAGTGTGATTTTTCACTATATTTAATTATCGATCGTTAATCTAATGTAAATGGTTTAATTTCGTGATTCAAAAAAATCAGATTTCTAACGTATTGGATGAAGATGGCGTGTAAAGAAGTTGGAAAGATGCATGGCCTTGGAGAAAATATAAAGTTAATCTAAAGTTTTTCATTTCTGTTAGTATTTCGGTAACTCTTTTCTGGACTGCTTTAAATATATTGCAATGGAAAAAAAAAATATTGTTCAAATTGTTTCAAATTAGCTTAAGCAAAACACTTTTGCAATACATTTTGTCCAAACTTAATTTGATTGTGTTCAATCTGCTTCAATAAGTAAAATTAAATTTTACTTAATCCGTTTGTGTTGGGTTACATGAATGATTTGTGTTGCATTAACTGAAACTGGGAGGTGCTTGTTAGTTCCCAAGCATGCTCTGCATATAGCTTAATTAAGAGAGAATAAATGTTGAAATTAAAGGTTCTCTAACCAATGTGGGGCCAAAACGTTTTTTTGTCACATACATCAAACGTCTCCTCACTATCGGCTAGCTGCCTGTCCCCTAAACACACTGTAAAAAAACACGGTCTCTGTAGACACCACAGGCTCCCAAAACAGCAACAAAAACAATCATGTCTCACCCGGACCGCGAAACCTAACAAACAGTGTTCCAGTCAATCACTGGCAAGAAGTATTTGAGGGTGGGTCTGGGGGGTTAGTGCGCGTGCACATGAAGGGGGTGTGTGTGTGTGAAGGAGAGAGAAGCATAAGAGGGAAGTTTGAAAAATGGCCGAAACACGACCAAAGAGACGTCGTTCTGAAGAACAAATTAAAAAGAAGAAGGAGTCGGATAAAGAACGTGCGAAGTTCCGAATTTACATCGATAGCTAAGCTTTTGAACGATGGCGAGAACTCCGGCGGCAGAAGGGCTTCCAGTCCGACATTCAGGTTGCTCTGTTTTTGATTGACAGGTGGGTAACGTTAAATTGTTTTTTTTTTTCTTCTAAATTAACGCTTATGTTCGCCAAACCCACACAAGGATATAATTAGCTAGAAATGCACGTTCACAATAATTTCAGGAAGCACGGAAGGGAGGGGGAGGAGATGAGATGCGGAGGAGGGAGGGTCTAGCTAGCCTCCGATTTGTTTGAAAATATTCCGAACGTCAACACCCAGGAACGCTTAGAGAACCTTTAAGTGATATTTCATGTGTTTTTGAGAAAATTAGGAAAGGGGAAAACTTTATAGTGTGTAATTGTGTTTAATGTTCAATTACATTGCAATTATTAGAACCATTTAAATTAGTGGGTTACCATTGTGGAGAAGAGTGGAGCAGTTGACTTGTTTACTTTGTGGACTGATCTCTTGTTGAAAATGCATATACATTTAAGCATTTAAATGTTAATAAGTGCTATTATTAGCTAATAGCTAGCTATAGTCTAGAAATCCTTCATAATTTTCTTTGTCAGTGCAGTTTGTGTTGAATAATTTGATTGTGTGGAACCACTGTCCATAATTTTGTTAAGTTAGAAAGGAGTGTCCTTAGTACTATGTGCAGAATGTCAGCTGATGATAAGTCACAGTAGATCTTTTCCATGTAGTTAAAGTTCAAAACATTTTCTACTCGACTACAAGAAAGTCGTACATAATGGAGCAGTGTTGGGTTTTTCCTTTCAGCTGTGGTCTCGGTCCCAGAACGATGTGTAACTGTTTATAATTACCATGCAGAGTGGCGGCCCCCGAGCGGCCGTACATCAGCCCACTAACTCAACACTGTGAGTGGCTTTTCATCAACAGTCTGAATAAGGGAACAAGGTTTTAGTAAATGGCTGTTTATCACAACCTCCTGGATCCATTCATACACATTCAGCCATCCCACTACAGCCACAGGGAGAAACCATATTGTGTTTCTGATAAAGCAACGACTTCCCCCAGCGCACAGAACATCCGGCCAGGAACTGAGGATTTACAGATCACGGAAAGGTTGTGGTGTTAACTACAGACCGCAACTGAACCAGATGAGAGCCAGGAGAGGTTCTGGAAGGTTCAGGTTGGATTTTCATGACCAGCCACTTTCACGAGAATTTGAGTGACTTCTCCTTGAAATATCAAACCTGGTGCGGAAACGTTCCAGCACTTGAAGCAAGAGAAGAAGGATTTCACTCAGGCTGAGACACAATGAGCTATTGTGAAGGCAGGGCCTTGTGGGATAGAATCAGGGGCTACTGGGATCCTAAACAGGGGAAACCGATGAAAGAAGCAATGTCTAACTCTGGCAACCCTGATGATTAGCAAATCAGTTGAGCAGAACGCTTCTGACAGCTCTTGAATATATATGTGTACGTGAGTGTGTTTGAAAAAAAAATAATAATAAATGTATGTATGTATGGTATGGATTGTATGGATTGGATGGAAGGATTTTTGTAAGAGATTCAGGCTCTTTTTTTTTTTTCTTTTTTTTTTGCTCTATTCAGGGAACAGTGCCATAGATGTTTTAAAAGGTCTGTGAGGATCCATAAAGCAGCAGCTCTTTCTGCTTTGTTAGCAGGGAGTGTTTCATTCAGACAGTGAGCTGGTCACTATCCAAACAGCAGGGCTTTGCTTACACCACAGTTAACACCCAAAGCACTGTTTGATTAGGTGCTACGACAGCAGAGATGTCTTACTCACTATATCTCACAGTCAGACTTAAGAAAGGCAGAGGGGAAAGGGTAGAGAGGAGGAGAAAAAGCACAAGTGAATTAAAGTGGAGGTGGGCCATATCTGGAACTAGGCCAGAAGGTACTGTAGGTGTGTGTGTGTGTGTGTGTGTGTGTGTGAGAGAGAGAGAAAGGGAGAAAGGGAGTGAGAGAGAACAGAATGAGGCCATGATGAGATGCAGCCAGTTCTAACACAATTAGTCGGATCCCAAAGGAAATCCAGAAACACCAAGTGCAGCTTCACTACACACACACACACACTCACTCATGCAAACATTACCATAATTGTTATCATACAGGAACTGTATCGATATTCCTGGTTAAAATACAAATAGTTAAATTGCTGCAGGAGATATACAGTTAGAACTGATATACCAAACAGGACCTGCCTGTAAAATGGGGAATGCCCTGTTGTGATAAGCACTGATTCCGTGGGCACGTTTGCACAATTACCTGATTTGTATAACTGCTTTAGTGAATTGGGTGCTTAAACAACACAGCCAATGTGTGCAAATTAATTGTGCTATCAGTGGGTGCAATCTTGATGAATTTCACACTTCATATAATTAGTCAAAAGTCTGGCATACTATAAAAACACACTACCATTCAGAAGTTCAGTGTCATTTAATCATGATTAATTATGAAAGAAAGAAAGAAAGAAAGAAAGAAAGAAAGAAAGAAAGAAAGAAAGATAGATAGATAGTTTTAATTGATAATACATTTAAGTGACAGTAAAGACATTTGAAGAGTTCAGATGCAAAAGCCTCTAAGTGCCTTTTGAATTTTTTTTTCCAAAATGATCATTTTTATCAAGCTTGTATATTTAAGTTCAGTAATTTCACTTAAATGGCAATGAAGATTATCTATTAATTGCCATTTAAGTGAAATTACTGAACTTAAATATACAAGCTTGATAAAAATGACCATTCTAGTAGAAAATTTCAAATGGCATTTAGAGGCTTTTGCATCTGAACTCTTCATTTATAGATCATGTCTATGTCAAATAAAGGCTGTTCTTTTGAGCTTTCCATTCATCAGACTCCTAAAAATGTCTCATGGTTTCCACTGTTTTCAAAATTGGAAGTATGTTT